TTTTTTTTTTTTTTTTTTTTTTTTTTTTTGCATTGGTAGTATCTTTTGTTTTTTTGTGGGTGCATTAATTTATTAGCAAAAAAAAATTTTTAAAGTTTGAGAACTAAAAATTTTATTTAAGCAATAAAAGATCGAAATTTTATGGTTTTTATTAGTATTAAAGTTAACTAAGTATCTGTTTTGTGTGGCAGACTGTTTTTGTAGACAAAAAAGTGGTCTTTATTTAACGTCGTAGAAAGTTCCGAAAAATTGTTACCAGTGTAATGCAGTCTATCGTATGATAAGTAAAAAAAGAACTTTATCTAGCTATTTCACTGATACATATAGCTATTAAAAACAGCTTTTCAGTTTTTATTTCAATATTAAGGTTTTTTCAGATGTTTCTTTTTTAACTTAAAACCAAATAAATAAACAAATTGAATAAAATAAAATGAGAATTTTCTTTAAAAAAATACCAAAAATATTAAAAGCATTTCTATGTATTGATAAGTTCAATTTTAGTTATTTGCGATATTATTCGTATACAGCGAAGAACAGGCGCCAGACATTTTTCCTGTAAGCTGTTATCTCAATGTACTTATCATACTGGATCGCTCAGATTCTGTTAAAGGTGGCTTCAATCGAAGTCGATCATTTGTATCTGAAGTTTCCATGGAGTTAAATATTTCGCCTACAGCCCATCGAGTAAGAGGCTTACTGTATATTGACTGATGTTTTATTCAACTATACTAGTGGTTCAGTTCAATAAATTTAGGTGGCATTAATTGTGTATTCTGGCTTAAACTATCGTCGAGAAGTTTATCCGTGGGCATTTGCCAAAAATAATGAAGAATTTCAAAGAACAGTAAAAAATTTAAGAGCTATTGGTGGGACGACCAATACAAGGTTTAAAAGCTTTTTACAATCATTTTATGCAGCAATTAGGCCACTTTTAATGGCTAGCATTATTTTAAGTTGGAATCTTCTGCATTTTTTCCTTACTTTTCACTTTTTTCTTTTTGTGAATTATGTTTTTTCAGAAAAGCTTTGGAACTAGGTTTAGAGTTAATGGAAACAAGGAACAAAACTATTCCAACGTTGATTATGGTGGTAACAGATGGCCGAAGTGCCGACGATCCAAAAGAACCTGCTCTGCGTTTACAAGCCATACCAAATACATGGGTTTTCGTGGCTGCAACTGGAGATCCACTTTTAGCCGATAGGTTAGTGCACACTGTATACTGATACATCCAGCATGGTTAACAGGTTGTTTAAGTGTATGGTTAATTAGTTGGTTGCTGTTGCCTTATTTTCGCTACAATCTTTCAACAAATCTACAGCAGCACTCTTACAGCGGCATAACCGTTAGGATACAAAATTTAGGATGCTGTATTACAGGTTTTATTTATTTTTTAATTTATCAATTTCTTCATTTTTCTCGCGTTTAACAGTCAGCCATTTTTAGAGTTTCATTATGTCATCTAAAAATTATTATTAGTTTTATGTTTTATTATATGAATTTAATCCCGTTCAACGCGTTTGACAGCGAAAGCAACAAAGCAAAAAAATTTGTCACCAAAATAATGGGAAGGAAATGGAAAGCGATAAATAGGCGGAGAAGTGGATGTAGCCAAGTGTTGCATCATATATCAATCATACGCACTTCCTGTAGCTCCTAAGTGAAAGAATTTGTTCTTTTAGTAATCAAAACATTTTTGAACCTGTAGGTGATAAAAAATGAAGTGGAAATTATTCATTGCAAAAAAGCGAAGAAGAAGAAGAAGAAGAATGATAATAATTTTGTGTTGTTGGAGAAAAACAGAGCAATAGTAGTTGATGTATAAACGCTTGAGAATTGAAGGTTAATCTAAACTCAAGAAGATTTTTTACTGATTTCTTTTTTTTTATTTTTCAACACTGAAATAAATTCAGAAAGCAAGAACAGATCGTTTTGAGCAACTGACAATTGAATTGATATATTTGCGAAAAAAATTAGTTTTTTAAATCTTGAATGCTTGAAAATCTACTTTTCATCTTACTGTTTTTTCTTCTTTTTGCTGTTAAAATCTGTTCTGTAAATTACTGTCTTTTTTTACTCCCAAAATTTGTTGTGGAATTTTACGGGAAAACATTTACCGAAAGTATCAATGGTGTTCTTGGGGAAGTTAAGCAAGACATAAGTGTGCAGCTACTGCTATTCCAGTTCAAAATTGTATAATATTCAACAGTTTTTATGATTGACAAACATATTTTAGGGATAGCATCTAAAAGCAGTTACTTTTACCGACTGCTATGAAAATCGGGTTTTGCTTTTTTGTTCTTGTTTGTTTACTTTTTGGAATCTTAATATCTGATGATTGGAAGACAACAACTTATAACGGTTTATGGTTAGATCAAACGCGAATCATAACCGACTCCATTTTTTGATCAGTTGCAGTAATACTGCAATTGTCTAGCTTTTTTTTTTTTTTTTGCTTTTATCGTTCCAACCCGATATTTTTCCCATCTTTTTTTAGCTCAGTGCTTTTCTTTGCATCAATAGCTGTGCAATGAAGTTGATACCAAATTAGGCTGATACTGATCAGCTACACTTTTTTGCTAAATTGTTAATTTTTTAAACACCTTAAGCAATTTGATATAGTCATTTTTTAAGTCTGATTAGAAGTGAGAGATAAATTTTTGCTTTTCCACTACCATGCTGTGATACGTCATTGCTATATATTATCAATACCTCTTTAAAAAAATTACGCCACTGTTTTCAACCGGCTCTTCTGTTTATCATGGGTGCTATCAGTTAAAAGCTGAAGAAAAAAAAGAGTACTGTAAATGGGAAAAATGTCGTTTGAATTTCTTCTAATGCTTTAGACAGATAATCAGTGAGTATCATTGAACAGAGCCTTCTGTTGTTTGATCAAATCAATTTAGCTCAAATACATCAATCGGGTAATGAGAACTTGAAAGGTTTTTTTTTATCCTAATATTACATTTACTTTTTGACGCTAACAACAGGTTTAGGGTGTTGAACTGCGAAGAAGAAAAAAGGGCAGGAAGAATAAGATGAAGAAGAAGAGAATTGAAGAAGTAGAGGGGTAGTAGAAACTAGTTTTTAGCTAATAACTTATTGAGAGGGTCTCTTGGACAGACGATGCTTCAACAAAAACAAATTTTTATTGTCAACTAATATTCAGATAGAGAAACGCAAAAAAAATACATCTTTTACATATAACATTTATTACTTAAGTCATAAAAATTAAATCAAATTTTAAGTGGAAAAAAGTTTATGTCGATCTGTGCTAATTGAATTTTTTTTGCTTTCTAAAAGTCATTAATATTTTAAAAAAATTATCAGGAAAAAAGATGGTTTGTGTTTTTTTTAGCTTTTCTAAAAATTCCATGTCAGACAGTGTCAGAATTACCCGATGTATCCAAATTTAATTGCCGTTTATGCAAGTGATAATCTAGCAAAGCTTGTTTTTTCTTTTTTTTCCTGCTTACAGACAATTATACACATAGTCTTAGACTTTATCATTGAAAATGAAAGCATCTGTCACAGAGTGTGGTTTGTTAGCCACCAAATGACAATAGATTTTTTTACGTCTATTTCTCGAAGCCTTGTTCAGAATTTTTGCTAACAACAGCAAAGAGGAAAGCGAAAGAACAGTACGGTAACTAAAATGACAAAATAGCACATAATCCTTCAAAATTGTTCTAGCCTGTTTGTAATTACTAGATCGGTGTGCAGCTTAAAGGTTATGTAGCATGCAAATTACTGCTCTTTTCATCTCTTTCTTCCATTTCAGTAATCCTCTAATCTACTGAAAAAAGCAGTAGAAAATTTTGCTTTTTTCTAGGCAAGAATTACTTACAATCGCTGGTGATATTAATCATGTTATACTGCAAAGTGGTCGTGAACTTGCTGCTGATATAACCAGAAAACTGTTACGATCAGCACAGGAAAAATGCCGTTCCACAACTACAACAACCACAACAACTACAACAACAACGACCACCACCACAACCACCACAAACCCATATTCTGGTATACACAGCATGAGCGTTATTTTTAAGTTTTGATAAAATTTTCTCATACATCATCTTCATATCAACAGCTTATAGATGTTTCTTGAAATATTACCGATCAGATATTACAGTTTTTTCTTTTCGCTTCATTTTCTCTGCTCTAGAACAGTTGTTTCTGAACAACACACCGCAGATTGAATTGATGTTAGTCTGTAAAAGTAATTTTTTGCTATTTGCTTAGGCTGTGAAATGGACCTTGTCTTGGTGATGGATCTATCGTCGACTACATTCCCATTATATCAGCATTACAAAGAGATGGCAGAACAGCTTCTCAACAGACTTTTAATTGGTCCACGTTATACACGAGTGGCTTTGATTACATTCAGCTCTGTTGGGAAAACGCACACACACTTTAATCTGGGAAGGTGAATATTGTGATAAAGAAAGAAGAAAACAAAAAAATTAAAAGATAATAGTGATAAAAGTAACATGAACTAAACAAAAGAAGAGAAGAGCATTTAGAAAAGGAATAATTCGTAATTCGTAATTTCTTGTAGATATGACAATGCTAAACCAATTATCGAGCAAATTCGAAGAATTGAATCTACTGGTGGAACAACTGCCGTCGGTTTGCTAATTTGATATTACTGATAATTATTTTTTGATTCCAAACTATGCGAATGTTTCAGAAATTAGCCATTTTGCCGTAAAAACGCAGAGCTTTTATATCTTAAAAGATGCAAAATTCCTCTTCCGTTAGGGTTCAAAAACGTTTCTTTGAAAGCTATTGAACGAGACTTTAATAATCGTTTGAAAATGCATTTGAAATTGATAGTATATAAAATTTAATGGGAAAATTACGTACAATTTTCAAATTGATTTGTAAGGAAATGTATTTTTTTAAAGCTTGCAAACTGTGTTACCAGTGAGATTATAATCTTGAAAGAATACTTGAAATTTGGCTTTACATTTTAGCTGGTTACCAGCAAAGACCAATAATTTGTTTCTAAAATAGTATTTTTTTTCTGAAAAATCTAGTTTTATACAAATATTTTCTTATTCAATGTACATTGGTTAAAATTACTGTAGTTTAAAATTTTAAGATCAGTGACCACTAGCTGATCACAATAATGCTAGTAAATTTGTAAATGTACATTGATTTTTCAGGTGAAGGAATTCGTATAGCAACCGAGCAACAAAATGAACGATATGGTGCCCGTCCACAGCATATAGCGAAAAAGGTAATACTGGTGTTTACCGATGGTTGGACTAACAAAGGACCAGATCCGGAAACAATGAGCAAAGAAGCAAAGCGTGCAGGATTTACTGTGTATTCCGTTGGCTATGAGGTTGAAAATTTATTGCATTTTTTTCTTTTTTTTTTTTTGTTTTGCCTTTCCCTTCACTAAACGCTGCTTCAAAACAATGTTTATTGAATAAGTATTCATCATATCGAAACGAGCTTGTTGTAAGAAAAAAAAATCTAATTTTAAATAATCTATAACTAGATGAAAAGTGAAGAAATATAGATTAAAAATCGAATAAAAATTTTGAAAAAAAAAAATTTTATTTTTTGTTCTTATATTTCTGATGCCATAGCGACGATAGTTGGTTGACGTTTGTTCGGCAATATGTAATTTGTAGGGCACCGGTGAAATCAATGAGCATAACGCTGGCATCAATCAGTATACATTGGATGCAATAGCCGAAGATATGAAACACGTTTACAACGAGAAAACTTTCGACCGTCTGGTCGAAGAACTTCGACAACGGAATCTTCCGTGTATAAATGGTGTTGAACCAGGTGTTTAATTGCCCCGACAGAATATTTGTTTGTTTGTTTGTTTGTTTTCTTGTCTTCAACTCTTTCCCAAAGTACTTTGTTTCTTCCTCCTTTTTCTCATCCTCCTTCTCCTCTTCTTCATCGCAATCTTCTTCTTAATAACCTTAGTGAAGAAGAAGTTACAACTTTTCTGTTCAGTTAGGAAATGTCTGCTTCCTTCGTTCTGTGTTCAATAATTAACTGATTACCAGGGATAGACAGATCCTATCGGTCAACAAAAAAAAAGATTTTTTTTTTTCAAAGAAAAACTGTTTCTCTGCCTCTGTCTTTTAGAGTTAAGAAATGCTCAACAGATGAGAAACGATTGACAAACCAGACTCTAATGATAAGTTGTTTCCTTCCTCAGTTGTAATTAGTACACATGATTGACCCTTGTTTCTAAGATACTTGTGTTGTTCTAGTTAAATAAAATGTTTGAACAAGAAAGAACAGGATTTACAAAATCTTATCTCATCTTTTCTCGATTTCTTCTTGCTATGACTGCAATAATGATGTATAATGTATGTATAGTTTTATAAAAAATTTGAATAAATTTATCAAATGTTTGTTAGCTGCATAAATATTTGAAAATTTTGAACAACTGTGTGTGAGCAGACCGTTGCTGTCGCAAAGCTATGGTAGCCGATCCTTAGGAATGAACAAAACAACAGCGGCAACCAGCGACAACGACAAATGCGGCGCGTAAAATTGCCGCCACCATGGAGCCAACGATAAGTGACAGTGGAGATAGAGATGGCGGTTCTGCTGTTGTTACTTTTTGGTACACTGATACAATTAAGTTGTCTTGTTTAGCAAACATTTGGGAAAAAAGTATGTCCGTTAGCCATTCAAAATGTTTTTTTTCTGGCTTTCTTTTAGCCGATCAAAAACTGTACCGCAAAAAAATGTGCGTTAAAAAAAATAAATGAAAAGCTGATGGTCTGAAATTTGCAAACAAAAAAATAAAATAACTAAATAAAAATTTTAACAGCATCCAAACAATGTCGGAATTTGATTTGGTTCTCTTTTTATTTTTCAACACTGTTAATATGCTAATCTAGCCATATGTATAGGTATCCATCTTTGTTGTTGGTGCTATTTTCTCTTTCGCAGAAATACAATTAAAAAAATCTAATGTTTTCCACCTTGACGTTGTTTACAGCCATACCTGATGGCGTATCAACACTTCTAACCCTTTAAAATGGTACCCATTTAAAAATTTTGAACTAAAAATAACGACAACAATGACGACAACAACTACAGTCATAATTGTAATAACAACAACAATAAAAGTAATAATAACAGTAATAACAACAGCAATAATAATAATAATAATGATGGTAATAACAGAGAAACAGTTATAACCATTACAGACAATAGTAGCAATCATGTTTGAATAATAAGAATAATAATCGAAAAATAAAATAAAGAATAAACGAAAGCAATTGCATTAAATTACTTACGCTTCAATATCTGGTAAACAGGAACTACCTATAGAACAACTTCAAATTCCAACGCCATCAAATTACGTCATAATAGTATACTGTACACCGTCAAAAAATGAAAAATTTTTCAGCTTTTTCTTTCAGCTGCAAAAATCAGATACCCAGTTTCAAACCAGTAATTTTTTTTTTTCGCATTCGGTACACATTTCAATAAGCATAAAATTCCACTAACCGCTTAAATGATTTTTTGATTGCCCCCCTTCCTTCTCAAAAAAAATCATTTTTAAGTGGGGCAAAAAATAATTGCTTATGGAAGCAAAAATTGAATTTCTACAATTTCTATACAAACAGAATTGATCATTATCGACTGAGTTATTTGTTATCACCAGTAAATCAACCCAACAATGCGTTACGATTCATTGGCTGCCGCATATCTCCAGCTACAATCTATTGTCTAAGAAACAACAACAAAAAAAGAAAAATAGAATATTAAAAATAAAAAGAAAAAAAAAAAACAGCTGCCAAACATCTTATCAATTTTTATTTTTATTCTTTAATTTATGTATTACTCCGTGAAAACATTCTAGCAACTGTTCAAGTTTGCTTCTAATTTTCTTAAATTTGAAAGTTTTTCTTTTTTTTTTTTGCAAATTGCAAATTCAGACTAACCGAAAGGAATGAAAAAAAACTGTAGCTATCCAATTACTGAACTTAATTTAGTAACTCTTCAGAAGAAAACACATGTGTAAGTGGTACATTTTATGTATGTGAAAAAAAATTACAACATAGAAAATAAAAATGATAAAAGAAGGAAAATGAACAGAACAGAGCCGGAAAATCAATCAGTTCCAAAAATGTTTGGACACCTCTGCAGTTTTACAACACCATCATCAACATGAATAACGACAATCAACAAGAACAAGTACAAAACAAGTCGAAGAAGACGTTGCAATTAATGTACCACGTCTACGCAAAATAAAAAACAAAAAATTGACAAAATACAATATCAACGGTAGATAATCAGAATTCCTAAATTTAGATCCACAAAGGCAGATGCTTCGTTGTTCAAATGACTGATCAGTTAAGCACGTTTGCAAAAAAACTTTTGATTATTTGCAACCTTGTCACAAATGCGACTGTGCCCCAGTGACAACAACATTCCTTCAGCATGTGATTAGCAGCTGCTTCGGTCGAGATGAACCAGAAATCTAACAACACCCGTAAACCATATCGATCACAGCAAAATGACTAACGGCCCCAATCCCTGAAATTATAATCCTGCTTCCCAATATACACCACCATCCAATCACTGTTGCGTCACTACAGCTCAGGAACTCATTAAATATATGCCAACTGACACTCTTCTCCCAAATTCGTCACCTTTTCAACATCAATACTGTACTATGAAGACAGCGATCAAGTGACCCATCCTGTTCAAAAAATTTCATGATGCAAAAGAATGAATATTCAGACCTCCAAAAGATAACACAAATGGTTCACCAACGACTCTTCGACGCCAACTTTCATGCTACTACAACACCATGAAAAAGAAATTTTATTGTTCAGATTACGACAAATACAACTCCGTTAGGCCCTGAAGTATCCCAGCACTGTAAAAAAATTCGCAACCGACAACGGAAAAATAACCGCCCCCTGCAGTCCTTACACGCTTCAGGCCACTCTTCTTTCCAATAACTCATCTTAGATCAAAGTGACCATCCATAGCGAATAAGCCGTGAGGACAAACGCCTTCAACGTCTCAAAAGTTGAAGAAAAACTGTGTCCTTTACAAGTATTGATAAATTAGAGCATGCGGCTAAACCGCAACCCTGCCATC